TTGACAACTTCAATCTTATCTCCATTGGTAAGAATGTTGTTTATTGGTCCAGTGATGAGGAATTTTGTTTTCTTTACATTGAGGTGCAATCTATACCAAAGACTGTATAGAGACCCTTTTTATTAAGTCCTAAATAGAACAAAGGCAAATCATCTGAGTGAGCGAGACCATCAACATGAAGCCATAATGGTGTTCAAAGGAGTCACGGTCATGTGGCTAATTACAGAACATAGGAAACAAAGGAAATAATCTCAAAATCATGATTGGCAGCAGATCACTTCTTAACTCTCTCTGGTGGGACAATGTGGAAGCAGGAAAAGGACTGAGATTGGGATCTGTCCACAATTACAGATTAGAAAAGTTTAAGGATGAACAGTTCTGGGGCCCTCTGACTACCTAGCTATATGATAGTCAATTTAAGGATGACTTAGGACTCTGCATCCCTGGGACCTCCCCAACTTCCAGTAAGAGCATACCCAGGCAAGTCCCCTCAGCAGACTAGGGTTGTCATAAACTACTTTCAAACGCACCCTGCCTGAGAGTAAGCTTTCTACATTGCCAGTTTATGATCAGAATTCAACGGAGGCAGAATTTATGTCAAGACTCAAAATGAAGTTAAAGCTTTCACTGTAAACTGTGGCCTTCAACAAACCAAATGCTGAGACTCGAAGCTCTAATACAGACCAAGGCGCCCTCTCAGATTTATGATGTTACCTTGAGCTGGAATTGAGGCAATGGTTGTCAGTTTTTCAGGGTGGGAGAGAATCAAGCATCAATCACTATTCGTCTAGTACATGCTTGGAGGGTCTTGGTGTGGTGCTATAGGATAAGCACTGATTGCAAACCTCCAAGTCAGTGGTTCAAACTGACCAACTACTCAGAAACCCTATTCATGGTTGCTATGAGTTGGAACTGGCTTGTGGAATTTAACAGTAACAACTACTATGTAGTGAGCGCTGCTTATGAGATATATAAGCAGATCTGTTTATATCAAAGTGTTAGTGCCCTGGAGGCAAAGAATAGGATTCTATGAGAGAAGGTGGGAGACCTAATCTAGATAAGAGAGAGGGGTCTGAATTAAAAGACCAATAAGTAGGTGATCTGGTAGCGTAGTGGTTACGAATTGGACTGCGAACCTCAAGGTCAGCAGTTCGAAACTACCAGCTGTTCCGCGGGAGAAAGATGAAGCGATCTGCTCCCGTAAAGATTTACAGCCTCGGAAACCCTGTTCAGGGTCGCTATGGGTCGAAACCGACTCGACGGCACTTAACAACAACAACAAGTAGGTGATAACCAGGCAGAGACTGAGGACAAGCCTCCTAGGAGCGGGTAGCTGGGTGAACACAACATTATAGGCAAAGATCCTAACCAAGGATTTGATGAAAGGTGTCTGTCACTAGTTAAGATAGGACCTAAGTCGATAGAGTAGTATGTTCCATCGTTGAAGAAGTTTCATGAACCATGTTGTAGATTTGCAATGGAAAGCAAAAGTGTTTATGCTTGGAAGTGCCTTGATAAGTAATCTTTAAAGATATTTCTAGCTGCTATGTAAGAAACAGAATAGGGGGAGGTGGGGGGGGAGGGACAAGCAAAACCTGAAATAGTAAGACTGGAAGAGAAACTCTGAAGTAGTCCATGTGAGGCTAAAGGTGGTCTGGGAATTCAATGGAAATCGAAGTTGATGGAATTAAAATGATCTGTCTGCAGTCAAAGGAATAGAGTAGCCTATTAGTTTTTTAGCACTCTGTCCTTAAATTCTGCTCGTAAAATGGCCTACGCCAGTTCTTCACAAGAGGACTACGTTGACTAAAGTGTTCCGAATGGAAACAAAATTGTAATCTTGGCACTACTTTAAACGGAGTTACTTCACATAGAAAAGAAAAAAACAAGATTGGCAAACCATTTGAGAGACAGTAAATAATCCATATTCTGTACTAAATGTAAGCCTTGTAAGAGAATTGAAAGCTAGACTTCTTCTGATAATTGTACTGTTGGGTAAGTGGAGAAAACCAACCATAAAAATTAAGTTATGGCATTTCTCCAATTGTTCATTAGGAAAATGCCCCAGGGTCCCAGCCAATTTTTCTTTTTTCTAAATTGCCACCTTTTTGAGTGCTATAGAGGAACTCATGCTGCCGTTTGCACATTTCGCTATAATACTTTGTTTTCTCAAGCTGCCCTTTGAAATTTTTTGTTCAGCTCTTTTACTTCATATTTCTTCCATTCACTTTAGGATCTCTATCTACCATGGAAAACAAGTTTCAGAATCTCTTCTGACATCCATTTTGGTCTTTTATCTCTTTCTTGTCTTTTTAATGACTTCTCTTTCTTCCTGTATGATGTACTTGATGTCATCCCACAACTCTTCTGGTCTTTGGTCATTAACGTCTAATGCATCAAATCTGTTCTTGAGATGGTCTTTAAACTCAGGTTGGATGTATTCAAGGTCATACTTCGACTGTCATGGGCTTGTTTTCATTGTCTTCAGCTTCAGCCTGAACATATATATGAGCAATTGATGGTCTATTCCAGTCTGTCCTGGGACTTATTTTGGCTGATGGTATTGAGTTTCACTGTCCTGTCCCACCGATGTAGTCTACTTGATTCCTGTGTAGTGTATTCCATCTGGTGACATTGATGTGTTGTTTATGTTGTTTAAAAGTATTTGCAATGAATAAGTCATTGGTCTTGCAAAATTGTAATCATGCGATCTCCAGTATCATTTCCATCACCAAGACCCTATTTTCCAACTACTGATCTTTCCTCTGTTTCCAGCCTTTGCATTCCAATCACCAGTAATTATCAATGCAGCTTGATTGTATGTTTGATTGCATGTTTAAAAATCAATAATTAAAAGTATCTTTCAGGGTTTTAATTATTACAAAAGTAAGTGTTTAGCACAGTATCTGGACATGCCTGAGTAGGTGGGTACCTATTATTATTTGTATCTCCATTTGCTCCTAGAGTCAAAGATGATATAGTATATTAAAGATGGTCACAAATTTGACCATCAAAAAGTTCAATTGAAAGTGATGCTATGCCAGTTTCCAGTCCTAGGTATGAAGAAACTGAAGCTTCCACTTTCTCTTGAAATACTGGCATTTGGATCTAGCTGCTATGTTGTGAGATAACTGAAACCTACATGAGGCTTCCAGCCCTCAGCCAACAGCTGATTTCTCAGTCAGAGCCAGCACCAGTTGACCAGCCAGACCAAGAAGCTATCATGGAAGAGGCTTCTCAGTTTCAGTCATCCCAGCTGATGCCAAGTTGATGCCAAGTTGAACAGAAAGACTAGTTTTTCCCAGTTGTCCCTGCCAAGCCCTGCCCAAACTCCAGATGGGGGGGGGGGGGCAGAGTAATTTCAGATAATGTATAACAGCAATTGATAGCCCAAAAGATGAAATCACCAAGTTTTGTTCTTCCACCACTCTGACACCCTCCCCCCACCCAAAAGACTGCATTTTAGCAGGTGGTAGTGGTTGTGTTCCGTGGAGTAAGTTCTGACTCATAGCGACCCTGTATGGGGTTTCCGAGGCTGTAAATCTTTACAGGAGCAAAAAGCCTCATCTTTCTCTTATGAAATGGCATTAGTAAGAAGAGTTTGCAAATTCATTTCGTCTAAAAGAAATAAGTGGAGTATATAGATGGAATCCTGGTGTGATACTGTAGGATAAGCACTGGACCACAAAGTCCATTTAAACAGAAAAGTCGGTGGTTCAAACTCAGCAGACACTCCTTAGCAACGCTATACAGGGTCGCTGAGTAGGAACTGACTTGATGGCACTTAACAACATAGAGAAAGTAGGTCATGAAGAAGTATGCTGAGTTTGTTATGTGCTGTTTCATGCTTAACTAAACAATTTGGTTCCGTTTATTCAGCAAAGCTTTGTAAGTGCCCATCTTCTTGTATCTAGTGCTAAGCACAGTTCATAGCTCTGAGAATTGATCTCACTCTAGACATAATTGTGTATCTGTTCAATCCATCTTTAGTTGCAGATCCCACTCATACCTATTTCGTGTCCATGTGTGACCCCCTGGTGGGACTGTGGGGTAATCAATGGACTGTTAAACAAAAGTTGGCAGTTGAAACCCATCAACCACTCTGCTCTACCAGAGATATATGGGGCTATTTGCTCCCATGAAGATTTACAGCCTCTGTAACCCTATGTTGTTTAGTGCCATCCAGTAGGTTCCGACTCATACTGACTCTGTATCGGGTTTCCAAGGAGCGCTGGTGAGTTTGAACCGCCGACCTTGTAATTCAAACCGACCTTTCGATCCAGTGCCGCTATGAGTCGGAATTGACTAGATGGAAGTGGATTTGGGTTTTAGTTTTTTGACCTTTAGGTCAAACTTAAGCCAAACCATAAACGCAACAATGCTTGATGATCAGGGAAGTCATCCCTGGGAATTCTTTTGTTAACATTTAGCGTCCTGTTGGAGGGAATCTTATTTGGAACAGGGTGATCTGATTTCTGATTGAGTTGATCAAAGTGGCTTTATCAACTTGCAAAATTAGCCATGAAACCAGTTACAGCCTAATAATTATTTGAGACAGGAAGAGTTAACTGTCTTGCAGATCAGATGTCTGCAGTATCTGGTTCAGGAGGAAAAACTGACTCCTAATTTAAACTGCCATTTGCAAACTACAATGCTCTTAAAACAAGCTTTAGTCTTCACAAACACCCTGCAAAATGCCACTTGTCCATAAGTTGGAAATGAGGAAACTGCGGCTCTTAGTTTCAATTCCTTTATGCATAAAATGAGGGTGACATGAAGTTTAATTGCTTCACAGCGCGTTAATATTTCAGCAAATCCCATCCTTGCTGACTGAGGCCCAGGGTCCCTTCACGATTCCCTCTCATTTCCTCCCTGATTTTGTCCCGCCCCTGGCGTCGGATACTGCTCGCTGTGATTGGTTCTGAGGAGTCCATGAGGCGGGAGCTTCGAGCTGGGAAAGAGATGAGCGGAAGAGGGTACGGAAACCATGGTAACGGGAGGCGGGGCGCAGCGCCCAGTGGTCTGTAACCGACGCTGGGATCCCGCGGTGGGGACAGCGCGCGCAGAGCTGTCTAGCCGCAGCCGGAAAGATCTGAGGCCCCGGCGGCGAGGCCACCTCCTGGCCGGCAGTAGTACCCTCGATGCCGTTGGAGCAGTGCGAAGCGGAGTGGTGCCTGGGTCCGAACCGTGGGCAAGGAAGGAGGTTGACGGGCCATCTTGCCAGCGGCGGTGTATACGGCGACGATGGATGCCTTAGAGGAAGAGAGCTTCGCCCAGTCCATGTGAGTAGCGCTTCAGCCTCGGCTCCCTAAAACTTGTGCCGTCGCGGGATTGGCGGATTCCGCTCCGATCCGATCTAAGCCTTGGGTCTTCGATGATTGCTGTGATCGTCAGGCCAGGCGGCGGGGCGCAGGCCCGTTGGACAGGCAAGAGGACGGTGTTACCGTTGATCAATTCCCTCTTCCCAATCCCCCAGCCTTCTGCCCTGCGGCGTCAGCAAACCCCCGGCTGGTGAGAGCTGCCGAACCGGGCCGCGGATTAGTGGGTTCGCCACCTCCCGACCCCCCACAAGCAGATTAGTGTGGGGTTCTTGCAAGATCCTGTGAGTAGATCCCTGCAGCAAACATACAAATATAGCTCCAGGCTTTCGAATCCGCTGCGAGCCTTTGCTTATTTTGCCCTTTTGTAGTTCTTTGTCAGAATCGAGTTTTCTAAAACTAGAACCTTACATCACCTTTATGTCAAGGATCTTTAAAATGGGTATTGTATTTAGAATCAATCTTAATTGTTGAAGCTTGTTGTTAATTGCTGTTGAGTCGATTCCGACCCTTAGCGACCCACCGAACTTGCAGTTCAAATGGCTTAGTAGTTTCGCGCATTAATAACCCACGGTGCCACACCAGGACTTCGTTGTTGAAGCTGGGTGATGAGAAAATTCATTATATTATTTTTTCTACTTTATGCATGTTTTAAAGTGTCCAAAATGTTTTTTAGTGTAACAAATTGTTTAAATCAACACCTAATCCAGACATATTGATTTTCAGCTCTTCTGCTTCTGATGCAGAATTTGATGCTGTGGTTGGATATTTAGAGGACATTATCATGGGTAAGCTCTTTCACCCTAACCTGACCCTTAGTCCTGTTCTTAAAACCAAAGCAAACCCAAGGCTGTGTTCTAGCTCGGTACTGTTCAAACATATAACAGGACCATCAGAGCCCCCTTTTTCCAGGAGGATCTAGACCGTGGCCGGACAGAGTGGACACATGCATGTCTGCAGAGGTGGCCGCTCAGGCACAGCTCTGAGCACAGTGGCACCCAGTGGGCACAAGCTCAGACAGACCCAAGACAGTCATCTCACACATGCTAGGCACATGTAGATGGAGCACAGTTGGCATAGACACTCATATGTGCAAAGAGGTGGGCTTCGTCCAGCTAAAAGCCCATGAGAAGAACCAGTGATGCCCCATGCTGGTACCATAGGCGGGAATCACAGGGCCTCAGGGACCCTGTAGGACAGATTAGAACTGCCCTGAGGGTTTCCAAGACTTTCCAGCAAGCAGCTGGCGGGTTTGAACAGCTGGTGGGCCCAATGCTAACCACTCCACCACCCTTGCTTTTAAGAACATTGAAACCAGTTTAGAGAGTTAATTTTAAGAGAGAGAAAACATCAAGCTGCAATTAATTAATTAAAGTAGTGCACTGTAATATTAGTAGTAAGCCTTACTTTTTGACTTGATTTGACATAGAGGCAGACAGCCCAGTATTCCTGAAACCAACTAATAACTAAAATATCAAGGCCTAGAAGGAATTTACTCAGATAATGAGACACCTAGAAGTTATAGGGCTCTTGGCAAAGCTTCAGAAAGTAGTGACCTAAGTTTTCATATGTGAGTTCTTTCACTTTTTAGGTAGTTTTAAATTTTACCATTTCCATGGCATACAACAGCATAAACCCATAACCATAAGCCACATGTCCATGAAGGAAAACAAGGTCTCAGGCACTAGCAGGTTCTAGTTTCCTGAGTTTTGAGTTTCTATCTGTGGATTTATTTTAGCATCTATGCTGTTTTGTTAAGTGCCATCGAGTCTGTTCTGACTCATAATGACCCTGTAAAGGGCTTCTGAGGAGTAACTCTGGTGGGTTTGAACTACCTACAGACCTTATAGTTCGCAGTCTAGTGCTGATCCTATAGTGCTACATCAGGAGTCTCTAAGTCTTGCTAAGTAACATACCAGCAATAATATAGGCACCAAAAGTTTAAGTCAAATATGTGTGAGGGAAAAACTTAAACTGAGAAAATTGTATCTATTGACTTACAAGTTAAGTTTTTCTGAGAATTAGGAAAAGACCACTAATTTGGTTTTGTCAGAAATCACTGACCATGTTTTTGTTCCTTCAAGTCGCGTGATGGTTCATGCCCTTTAACTCCTGAATATAGATACATGTTTCTCCATTAAATTCTCATTCCATATGGATGTGTGGATTTTATGAAATATTGAGGAATCCACTTCTGTTGCCCAGAGTGGGTAAACCTGTCTGCTGAGAGAAAATGAACCTTCCATAACCCCAGAGTATTTATTCCAAAAGTCATGGTCCTTTCTGCAGCTTTCCTTTTATCTTTAGAAATAATATTCTTTTGTAAAAATTCCTTAACATTTATTAGGTGCTCATCCTGGACTAATTTCTCTATATATTCTCATCTAAAATCTAGTTGTTCTGTACCATAGGTACCTTCACTGTACTTCATTTTCCAGGTACATAAAGTGGGAGTTAGAGGAGATCGTCTTGCCTAAAATCACACAACTTGGCTGAGAAAAAATTCTGGCCTCTGTCAGAGCCCATACTTTTAATGACCATATTGTAGCCACCACTGCTGCTAGAAAAATATTCTGGAGTATGTAGCTGTACAGAAAATTAATGTGAGGGAGTTTGTAAGCCATAAAAACAAGCTGGATTTGCATCCGAGTCCCAGTAAACAGACCCTGCTGCCCCCTTTAAAAACCATCCATGTTCCCTCTGATCTCTGTCGTAGAGCAGAATGGTGTTTGGTTTCCATTAAAATGAATCTTCCCTCTTGTGGTTCAGATGACGAGTTCCAGTCACTACAGAGAAATTTCATGGACAAGTACTACCAGGAGTTTGAAGATACAGAAGAAAATAAACTCACCTATACACCTATTTTTAACGAATATGTAAGCAGATTTCGATTTCTCTTACAAAGAGATTAGGATTTCTTTAAAGTTGATACTTAGAACCAAAAGGTGTTAAAAAGTGCTCTTGTCTTTTTCAAATCTGCCACCAGCTAGCACACTGTCAGGGATCCTAATTAGAATCGGTGTTAGTTCTCATCTGCTGTTCATTAGTCCTGCACACAGCTTTGATGGCTGTTGTCCAAAAGGCTTTCAGGCAAATGTTTGATGATCTTATTTAAAAGAAAACATTTGGCTTACCATAATCCTGCTTTCCGTTGCGTGGGTTTAATACACCTTCTATCTGTGTACTTTTGACCTTTTTTCTATTTAAAAAAATCCACAGGATGTTTTCTGCTTTATAATTCAGTCATGTAAACATGACTGTTAAGTAAAAGTGAAAATTGAGTCCAAGGCCCTTACCTACTGAAACCCAAACCCAAAGCCATCTATCTAGTTGATGCTCATAGGTTCCTACCTGGTGGTGGTGGTGTGCCTTGGTGTTGGTTCCGACTCATAGCAACCATGTATAGGGTTTCTAAGGCTGTAAATCTTTCCAGGAGCAGAAAGCCTCATCTTTTTCCCACAGAATGGCTGGTAGTTTTGAGCTGCTGACCTTGAGGTTAGCAGCCAGATTTGTAACCACTATGCTACCAGAGCAGCAAAATCAGGACCCAAGAACCTCTACTCTTGACCTGTGGGACTGTACCCAGAGCCTCAGGCAACCTCTTGGGATGAATTACCTCATCTGCCTAAGAATAGGTTTAAATATCCAGGTCTTTGTTTTCTTAATCCCGAAGCTTGGGTTAATCAGTGAAGGTTTCCTGGAGCCAAGCCTTTGCTTATCTGAAACCTGCTTAAAAGGAACCTGGGGCTACCCTCCAAGTTTATGCATTTTGTATGTTCTTTTTGTATAGACTTCATCTCCCCATGAGGAAAAGCCTCGCTTATTTCGTCATTCCTTTCTGTCATATGTAAGGCCCATTGCTCACTGGCCTTACATATGTTAGAGCATCCATACTGTTAACCACACAGTCAACCTGTGAAGGCCTCTCTAGAGCTCCCAGTAGACCCAGTACTCAAAAGGAGCTGTGTTCTGGTCTTTGGTACCCAGCACTTGGCATGAAACCTGACACATAGAAGAGGCTCTCAGAAAATGTCCCTTACGAGGTGGGGATCAGCCTGTCTGGAAAAGAAGGCTTGTTTTCCTGAAGTGTGGTCTGACCAAGATGCTTTCTACTGTTGTAGATTTCTTTGGTAGAAAAGTACATCGAAGAACAGCTGCTGGAACGGATTCCTGGATTTAATATGGCGGCTTTCACAACAACATTGCAGTGAGTTGCCGTATCTTTTTATGGGTTTATCCTTTCACTTTCTCCAGGCCTTTTACCACCTCCTTTTTTAAGTGTCTGAAATGTCAAGGTCTGGTGCACTTGAGCCCTCAAAACCTCTGAATGAACTTTCGAGATTGTGTCCGTTCATCATTCATTCATGCCAACAGCCATGCTTCCCTTTTGCAGGCACCATAAAGATGAAGTGGCTGGTGATATATTTGACATGCTGCTCACCTTTACGGATTTTCTGGCTTTTAAAGAAATGTTTCTGGACTACCGAGCAGTAAGTCACTTCTGCCCATTTCATTTCCTGAACCACTTAGAACGTTCTCATTAAAACTATCACACACAGATATCTCCTCTGCTTCTTCCATCTTCCCCGTACACCTGATCAGTATGAGTCTAGCAGCTAGCAAGTGTCAGAAGAGTGAGCTACTGTTCTTGTCTGCCCTGGACCCAGGACCTAGGACCATGGCCCCTTGCAGCTGAACATTGTCATGCCTTGGTGGAACAGTTCCCAACCACTCTCTCAGGGTTTCTAAACAATCAGAATGGTAAAGCCAAAAAGCAGGTCTAGCTGTGCACCTTGCCTGCCTGATACCGCAGGCTCTCTGTGGGAAAACAAGTCAGTGGTTTTCAGTGAAGACAGGTAAATTTTCTAAGTGACCAAGGTCAGAACTGGGCAGAAAGGCAAGATCACCTCTCTCCTCCTATGGTATCCCCTGGCCATTCATCCACACTCCTTCCGTGAGAAGAGGCAGGGTTCTGAGCTAGAAAGGACTCTACTTCTTGGCCCTTTGTTTCTTCTCTCCTGTAGGAAAAAGAAGGCCGGGGACTAGACTTAAGCAGTGGTTTAGTAGTGACTTCATTGTGCAAATCATCTTCCATGCCAGCTTCCCAGAACAACCTGCGGCACTAGCTCCCCCCTCCAGACTGGGACCGTTGTGGACATCAACAGCCCAATAGACTGGGAGAAGCTAATGTTGATAGGTGAATACATCTTGGAAAGTCTGACTTGGTTGCTCTCTTCTGCTGCTCTTCATTCGTGTTAAGTATTGATGGCTCTGAAAAGAACATTACCAGACCCACCTAGGACCTTTCTCCTGAAACTCTTTGTAGTCGGTGATCCTAGAACATCTCCCAGAGTAGACACCTCTGAATCAGGCCCATACCCAGCGTCCCACCCAGGCTCCCTTTCCACAGGATCCATCACATCCCCTCTTTATCCCAGCAAGCTTTGCAGGCAGCTCCGCACTCCCAGATCTCACTTGGGTCAGTTTTCAGCCATCAGCCTCAGTGGCCCAGCTGTAGGGCCGTGTTTACGACGAAGGGTGCTATTCAAAGCAGCTGGCCATCTTGAGATTTCTGAAGCTGTCAACAAGGATTCAACTGTGAGCAGCCCTTGGACTGACAGCTGCCTGTGAGAATCACCTCCCTCCTCCCTGGCTTGTGTTTGCAGTCCCTTCAGCGCTGTGTCTTCTACCAGCCCTGATACAGCCCCACTATTTCTAAGCATTATTTTTGAAAACATTTTTATAGATGAACACTCAGGCACAACTAGTGGATCTGATCTTGGAAAGTCCATGATGACCCACTTAAAGATCTAAGTATTATATGCTGTGTGCTTAGTTGTTAGTGCTGTGAAGGCAAAATCACTGCCTGCATCATCGCTGTGTCCTGCTTTCCTGGGCACCAGGGGACAGATTACGTTGTGCTGGAAGTAAACCCAGTGTAACGGACCCTTTCTATAGAGCATGTCATATGTGTTTGTGCAGGTTTGTGTAAAGCCCTTTCTGATCACTAGGTTGTCTGCTGGGGAAGGGTCATTTGGGGAAAAACGGACTCTACAAATCCTTTTTCTTGTCAAGGTCTCTCCTACTGCGATGGTGTTCCTGGCCTAGCTCAGCCTGCGGAGGTCATAAACGGCCTTAATGGTTATCTTAGGCTCTGCTTTCGCCAATGTTTGTTGTCATATTAGTGACCAGAAGACATGTACATCACATCTCTAAAGAGA